TACATTCATGAGCACTGTGCTCCGCCCTGCAGAAGGACACTGTTCTATTCAGGTGCCAACACATGAACAAACTCAGCCGAGTGTGGTGCACCTGCAGCAAGGACACATACACCATAATGCTCCACAGTCTGGACAGAACTTGGGTGGAAACCCATACCTCAAACATCAACAACAGCAAGAACAAAGACACCTTTACCAGCTTCAGCATCACTTAACACAAACAGAATCTCAGATCCATGGCATTCATCAGAGGAACCTGCTGCCTGACCAGCATGTGCAAAAAAAGAGAGGAGTTGTACGTGGTGGGCAGACAGGACCAAATATTGGTTTGCAGAAGCAACATCATTTGGAAAAGAGTGGGGTGCAGCATCAGCAACAACAGCCTCCTCAGCAACACCAACAGCAACAGCAGCATCAACAACAATCCCAGCAGCATCAACAACAGCAACAGCACCATCAACAGCAGCAATCACAGCAACAGCAGCAAAAGGCACAACAGATTCAACAGCAGCAACAATCACACCAACAACAGCAGCAGCAGATGCCACCACAGAATTCACATTCACGTCATCAGCATCTTCAGCAGCAGATTCAGCAGCAGCACTTTGGGGCTAGACAGGACAAAAACTGTGAGGCTCAACAGGCAGGTCAAAGGGCACATCAAAACAATCATTTGGGTCAGCCGGAGCGTCCACCTGGACAGGATCATGGGGCTATGCAAAGGTTAATGGGGTCTCGTTCAATGGAGCAGCAGTTGACCTCTCAGGCTAGCAATTCATCACGTCAGGAGCGCCACCGTCTCTCTAGTTACTCAGCAGAGGCTCTGATAGGGAAGACTCCTGCTACTGGTGAACAACGTATGGGTGTGCACCTGCAAGCACCTCGAAACAATGCACAAGACCAGTCAGAATTACGAGGCTATGTAGACTCGTCACGTAGTAAAGGTAACATTGCTCATAATTCTCAGAGCAGGCTACCACCTGATCATGCTAATACCACAGACACCCAAAGAATATCAGATTGTGGACCTTTCAAGGCTTTGGCTAGTGTGAATCAGCTAAGTAACTTTGAAGTGCAAGTGTCTCGAAGTGGTGATATGTCCAGTAAGTCTGTACCTCAAATCCAGAGAGGTCCTCAGCAGCAAACAGGATTCAGAATGGGTACAGGGCCTACAGGGGATGTGCGTTCACGTGGGACATATTCAGGTCCGCATTCTGTTGCTCAAGGTGTGCACATTGGAGCAGGACTGACAAGAGAACAAGAGGGATGTCACCAGAGCTTTATGCAAAGTCTTTTGGCACCTCATATTCCTGAACAAAATGTGCACCAAAGGACAGCCCAGGGCTGTACCCCAGGGAGTATAGAATACAACTGTGTTCCTGGGACCTCTGCTGGAGAACTTCAGGCTAAATCTTCTAGTCCTAGTTTGCACCCTGCACAGAAAGCTGCTCCTATACGTCTAGGGGACAACAACAAAGGCCATATTTCTCAGGTCAGTGCAAATTTGCATGGTCCACCTGTGAGAACAGGTCCACCCCATCCCTCAACACCACACAGCAGTTCAGACACAGGACGCACTCAAGGCTCAACCAGGTCTCTCTCTGTTAGTCAACGACCCCATCATATTGGACCAGATCCACAAAGCACAAAGATTCGCCCAGGAGAACGACCCCGGTCAGGCAACTTGAGACCTGGAAATCCCTTTGAACCAGAAAGCTCTTTGCCTCTTCCATCAGGTGGAGGAGTGATCCTTGGCCGTACAACAACAGGAAGTGAAGCTAGACGAAGTAGCATTGTGCGCTTCATGGCAGATAGTGCACAGGTCAGCAGTGACAACAGTTTGGTGTCTGATCGCTGTGCTGTGTCTGATCTCACCCAGAACTTTGGCTTTCCTTTCATTGCTGAAGGAGGAATGAACCCACCACCTCCCATAAATGCCAATGCATCATTCATCCCACCGGTCACACAGTCCAGTGCCTCTCGTACCCCAGCCCTCCTTCCCGTGGAACCTCAGAACAGTCTGCCTTCATTTTACCCCTCATATTCCCCTGCAGCTCATCCTAGCCTTCCAAGTGAAATTCCTTTACAGTATTTCCCTAACCAGATGTTTACAAGTCCAACCACCGACAAGAGCGGCAGTGCACCCCTGAACAATCGCTTCGGTTCTATTCTTTCTCCCCCGCGACCTGTGGGCTTTGCACAGGCCAGCTTCCCACTTCTCACAGATATGCCAATGCCAATTGCAAACTCTTCAGGCATCACACCTCATTTATCCAACTTCAACCTGACCTCTTTGTTCCCTGAAATTGCCACAGCAATGCCTCCGGATGGCTCCTCTATGCCAATGTCACCTTTATTGTCTCTTACCAACACTACTTCCTCAGACTCAAATAAACAATCTAATCGCCCAGCCCACAACATCAGTCATATCCTGGGACATGATGGGACCTCTGCGGTTTAAGATAACAAAAATTATGAACGCTTGAGTATTTCTGAGAATTTTATTGCCCTCACCTTGCTGTAGATTTTGTAGTAGATGGCCATGATGTAAAGGCTTTTAATTCCTCAAAGAAAAATAAAGCGTGTAATGTTCTCAGGTCCCAAGTCAGGATCACCATGTGAGGAAAGTAAAATATTTCATTATGTTTGTTAGCCTTTAGTAGGTTTCCTTTTTTTGATGTTGTTTTTTTACAAATGAGGCAGATAGTTGCTGATAGTTTGGTCTGTCATGGTTCTACATGATGTATAACTTGTCTTTATTTTTCTCAAGAACAGCTCCCATTGTTTAATAGAAAAATTCATGTGTCTCTTTACACTGTAGCAACAATAATTAAATGTTACAGCAAAAAAAGTTTAGAATTTTGCATTTAATGCTACAGTAGATATATCTGAGCTGTTTTGTAAAGTTTGAGTTGTTTTTCAAATGTTTATTAATATTTTCCTCCTTAAATTCTTTTCCTGCATAATATCATTCCAGAAGATTTTTTGCTTATTTATGAAAATGGATGTGTGGTCTGTAGATATTTGTAAAAAATAAAAAGCTATTAAAGTTTTTATCTAATCTAAGAAGTTGAGATGTTTTTTTTCTCACTGATATCTTGTTTTAGCATGGTAAATCCACCAGATGTCAGTGCCTTTCAATGATTGTCATACCTCTGTAGTTTTGTTTCCAAAACAAAAGTTTTCTGCACAGTCAAAGGGATAGTTCACTTGGAAATTAATTTTGATATGTTTTAGCTTACCTCAAGGGCATCCAAGATGTAGGTGTCTTTGTTTCCACAGCATTTTAAATTTTGACATTTTTTGGTCAAACCGTTGTTGTCTTTCAGTCATATAATGGAGGTCTATGGGGATCTCCTAAAAGAGCATGCACAGAGAAGTCCAAATTAAACAAGATTTAATGACTCGTAAATGTAAGTACACACTGATGGCCTAAGACACGAAACAAGAGGTTTGTGTGAGAAAACGAACAGTATTCGTTTTTACCTCTTGTTAACAGCCGTCGAACCGATCTGAATCAGGCTACGTCCACATTAATCCGGATACATTTGAAAACGGGGTTTTCGTTTAAAAACGCTCTCCGTCCACACTAGTGTTTTCAGGCGTTTTCTAACGTTTCAGTGTGGATGAGAAACTTCTAAATACACTTTACTGCGCATGCGTGAAACTTCACAAAAGATTACTGAGACGTTACAGAGGGGGAAATAAATAATAAAGTTATCGCGCAATTCTTCTAACGGGATCATTTTATTTAGCAAAATATCTCACCATCACTGATGCATCCAGGTCGCATTCAGTCACCATATTTGGTCTAAAACGCAACTTCTGTTTTGCCGCAGGACAGCAAACGTGAGTACATCTGTCATCTTTGCAGTACTGTGCTATGAACAGCACATATTAAGTAACATAGAAAGTAACATATTTTAGCAACAGTGTAAAAATGAATAACACATATAACAGGCACAATACCGATAAACATGGATCACATGACTAAACTTACATCATCGTTTTGAAATACCTCCGGTTTCACTGTCCACACTACAACGCGAAAACGGCGTTTTCAAATGTATATCCACTTTGGAGAGCGTTTTCCAAACGATACGTTTTTGGTGACTTAAAACGGCGTCTCAGTGTGGACGGAAGGCCAAAACGGAGAGAAAAATATACGTTTTCAAACGAAAACGTATTAGTGTGGACATGGCCTCAGATACCGAACTGAACCGTCTCCAGAGTTTACGCCGGAAGTGATTTCTCGCGCATCTACGTCGCGCATTGTTTACGCGGAGATTTCGGAAGTTTTACCTTTCACTAAACATATTTAGATATATCGAAATCGTCTTCCATTGCGATTTCCCTTATATCTAAATATGTTTAGTGAAAGGTAAAACTTAGGCCATCAGTGTGTACATTCACGAATCATTAAATCATGTTTAATTTTGACTTCTCTGTGCATACTCTTTGAGATGAACCGAGGGAGTACCCCGTTAACCTCCAGTGCGTGACAGACAGACAACAACGGTTTGACCGAAAAATGTCAAAATTGAAAACTGTGGAAACAAAGACACCTACATCTTGGATGCCCAAAGTGAATTATCCCTTTAACAATTTAAATCACAAAATTAAAATGTATCAATTTCTTTACCTAGATAATTGTACATTTCCTTTCTAGCATTTGGACTAGCCTTTGATATTTTTACACGAACTTACACTTTATCTTAATTTTGTAATTTAGTTTACAAACCGTATTGGTGCCCTAGATGGACAATAGACAAGGATAAATATTTGTGTAGAGGTTATGTTGATCTTCATGTTATGAATGTCCGTTGGGCCTGACTAAAATATGCAATTTGGCAACATTTGATTATATCAGAATTATAAGTAACAATGGAAAAACATACATGATATATTCTACACCAACCATGCGCAAACAGGGTAGCCTATGCCTTCAGATATGCTATTAAACGCACAAACATAAAAGAAAAAACGATGACAACAGGAAATATGATTTCTTTAGCTTTATTTACAGGCAATAGAGCTCAATCCATGTAACCATGCAGCTACACTTCTAAAATATGTTAGAGATTGATCGTTTCCTTCATGTTTCATGTTTACAACAGTGGGAAGAAGCTAATACTGACGCAGGGGAACTGCAGGTCTCCAAAAGTAAAAGTACAACTATACAAGCTGACTACATCAAACCAGTTTAGAGTATAAAAATGAGCATATTCCAGGTAGGCGTGTTTATTTTAAGAATGTCTCACATCCAGGCTGCTGAGAAAAAAAAACTACAATATGGTCTCTTTATCATAATCTATATTACTACGCACAGAAAGCATATACTTTGCATATATTTGTTAACGTCTTTGTTAATGATGAAAATAGATAAATCTTAGTAACAAATGTACAATCTGTAACACACTGTATCTCCATTCAAAAACCCTTACAACTGAGGATTCACCTGGAACAAATTACAATCAAAAAGTTATAAAACTGCTTATTTGTTGTGTGTATCTAAGTGTTAAAACCAACAGTAGCATCTACATGCCATAAAGCCATTAAATGTTCGTGGATACAACATACTCTGCATAAAATATGTATGCATATAAGGACTACATATACACTATATTGCCAAAAGTTTAGGGAAGTACGCCTTTACATGCACATGACCTTTAATGAGACCCTATTCTTAATCCGTAGGGTTTTAATATGGAGTTGTCCCACCCTTTGCAGATATAACAGTTTCAACCCTTCTGGGAAGGTTTCACAAAAGGTTTGTTTATGGGAATTTCAGACCATTCTTCTAGAAGCACATTTGTGAGGTCAGACACTGATGTTGGATGAGAAGGCATGGCTTGCAGACTCATCTCTAATGTATCCCAAAGGTGTTCTGTCGGGTTGCGGTCAAGTTCCTCCACATCAAACTTGTTCATCCAGCACTGATGCGCAGTCATGTTGGAAAAGGAAAATCCCCAAACTGTTCCCACAAAGTTAAAAGCATGAAATTGTACTTTACACATGGCACAATACAATCAGGCAAGTACCGTTCTCCTGGAAACCGCCAAACCCAGACTCGTCCATCAGATTGCCAGACAGAGAGAAGAGAATACGTTTCCACTGCTCTAGAGTCCAGTAGCGGCATGCTTTACACCACTGCATCCCACGCTTTGAATTGCACTTGGTGATGTAAGGCTTGGACGCAGCTGCTCGGAAACCCATTCCATGAAGCTCTCTACAAAGTGTTCTTGATCTTAGTCTAAAGTTTGGAGGTATGTAGCAATAGACTCTGCAGAAACTTGGCGACTACTAGTCTGGAGGCCCAGGTGCTTGATTTTATACAACTGTGGCCATGGAAGTGATTGGAACACCTCAATTATCTGGAGGGGTGTCCCAATACTTTTGGCAATATAGTGTAGATAGGCGTACAAATAATTTTAAAAGTCAATTGTCCCAAAGCACTGCAAAGTTACAACATTCTTAATGAATGGATCATTATCATAATGCCCTAAAAGCATTACATTTCCCACCAGCAGTACTTCAAACATCAAGAGATGCTTGCCAGTGGAAAACCTGGAGCTTATTACTGATACTGTCTGTATGATGTTGAGGTGTCAGGTTGTTCCTATCTCACATAAGGATCAATTATACAGCATACTTATAAAAAATATCCTGGTGGTAACAGACAAACATACCAAAATATGTATAACATCTGATATAAACAACCAATATATACATTCTTTAAAAAAATGTACTATGTACAAACACATAAATATATAAATATAGCATCTGTTATACAAAAATAAATATTTTCTCCCTCCCCCCTCCCTCTTTTTTTCTAAGGTTTCATCCATCTTTTGAATCATCCCTGGTCCCTTGTTCCTCAAGCTGCTTTATGTTCTGTGTTGTTCCCACTTCCTGTTGCTCAGCACATAGGAGCAACTGATTTATGCCCGCATCAACTGTTGTTGACAGGGGCAAGTCTGTGAGGAGAAATGCATTCAGATTACTCATCTACTCTAATAAAAAATACTAGGTGTATTTTCAAATGCTAAATTTGATCGTGTTTGACAATTCACACCCCCTGCATAGTTATCAATTATATGCATTTAATTCAATAATTAACGTACAACAATTTTTTCTATAACAATCTAAAAAGAAGAGTGGTGAGCGTGTGTAGCTGCAGGGTGTCATATAGTATTAATTCATTCACCTTAATTAATTTTGTCTCATTTTAAAATTAGTTATTTTTGACAATGCCTTTGTTGTAACACAAAATAATCAAACGCACCAGCAGTGACCTCTTCCAAATGAACTGCTTCAGTGAGGGAGTGATCGGCCTGTGTGGAGTCAGGACTCTGAGATGGATGGGTAGGTCCCGATAAGCTGAGGACCTGCAAGGGGGAACCATCAGACACATAGCATCCCTCTTCAGGACAACCGGACACCCTAAAAGTAAGAAAAAAAGACTAAGTTCAAATTTATTTTCTGGGTTTCCCTAAAAAAACTTAAATGTCACAGTGTAACAGTCACCATGAAACAGCATTCACAACCCATTTTGACTCCATAACATGACAAATAATCAATATTCAATGATGAACAAAAACGTAGGACAGGACTTGTTTTTATCTATGAGGAAATTTGTCAGATCAAAAGCACGTATGTTGCTTTTTTATTGTATCTCTCCTTAAGTGTGTAATACAGCTGTTTGTGCATGTAAATGATCCGTAAAGTAACAAAGCACACCCAATGGAGTTCATCTCTCCAACAGAAAACACTTGCTGCCTCATTTGTATTCTTGCCGAATTTGCTGTGTCACACATTTGCATACTGCCCGCCAACTTGCTGCTTTGGCCCGCCCTCAAAGAACAAGTTGGCTGATTTCGCTTTGTCGCCTTTTCGTACTCATGAAGTCTCAGCAGCAGAAACTCGATTATGGTAAGTGGTTGACCAATTACAACAGACTAGGCCAGCTGACCAATCAGAGCAGACTGGGCTTTTCAGAAAGATGGGTTTTAAAGAGATTCAATCTAAAACAGAGAATCAGCAATGTACATTATGAGACAAATCTTCTTTTAACCGGGTCCTAGTTTCAAAGTCAGGGCTTGGATTAAGCTTCAAAGGGGTGATTTCTATACTAAAATGAAGCAATAGTACAATTCTTACCCGTTACAGTAATTGTGGATACGTGGTTGCTGATTGGGAAGTTTCTGAGGTAACAATGCATCACACTCCAACTCATTGTCAGCATCCTCCTACAAAAGAGACAAGAGATTGAACATTAACACAATACAATACTTTCCTTTGCTGACCTAATACAGCAACCCCCAAGAAGTTTATTACTGTGCTGAACATCACAAAACATTCAAGGTCAAAGTGAAAACTTACCCGGTGTCCAGGAAGGCGCTGTGTAGTGTATTTCCCATTGGGAATGTATTCTCCTTTAGGAGCGTAGACAGTGTGGGCAGATGTCAGGTGGGGGTCTACAGGACAAGGCCGACCAAGAGCCAATCCTTGCAGGGGGACCATGGTGTACTGGCATGGAGAAACTGTAGCTGCCAACGCTGGAAAGCGCATGTCTAAAGTTTGTTCTGAAATAACAGGGTTCCTTGTCTTAGCATATCTTTGAACAACTAATGACGATCTTTGACTGTTTTAATGTTTCTAAAACGGCACTCACTTTGTTTGGCCCAGACTCTCCACAGACAGATTGGGATGAAAGCTACGATGATGAAAACGAATGCTCCGAGTACCACACCCACAATGAGGTAAGGCAGATCACCAGGCCGAGGAACAGGGTTTCCTGAATGGACGGGTCTGGACGATGAGGTCTCTGGAGGTGTGGTCCTCTGGTGAAGGCGAGCTGTAAGTACACACAGATGTTCACACTTAAGATCTGTGTTGTCAGGAGAGATCTTTGTTCTAGAAAATAGCTGAGGTGTGGTGAATCTGAGGAAAAGGAAACGAACCTTTAGTTTCTAAAATGACAACATTTCCGAACTCGCTCTCGCCCCCTTCGTTGAAACACTGCATCTTAATGTCATAAGCCGTCTCAGGCTGTAGGTCAGTAATGGAGTGCCAGTAGCGGTCACCTAAAAAGTGCGCCAGACCATTACATTTTATATTGCTTTAATATATAGTTAAGAAATGAAAAAAATAAAAGGAAGGACATGACTAACCTTCCACTATATCCTTTTTGTAGTCACTGTCATTGTCGCTATCGGTGGGTCGGTAGAAGATGTAGAAGCCATAAATGGGGGTGTTATTGACTGGTGTGTACTGCAGAGAGAAAATAAATATTTATTTCAAGGTCTGATTATCGTGTGACAACAAACAGGTCGTATTTCTTGAATTTGACAATGTAAAAATGTTTAGTGAGGAAGTGCTTACCGTCCATTTCAGAATGACTGTGGTCTCATTGATGGCTTCATTGTAAGTGATGTAGGGTCCGTCGATGGGACGTCGGTTTGGTGGACCACTGCCCACCACTGTGTAGGCTTTAGAGGGAGCGCTTGCTGGACTCTCTCCCAACACGTTAACGGCCAAAACTCTGAACTTGTATGATGTTCCTGCGATGCAATGGAAAGAACAAGAAATAAGTCAGCTGACTCAAGTAAATCTCAACAGGTTTTTAAGATCATGGGAAACATGGGTTTGGAAACTAATTAGGAAAAGTTACTTGGCAATGTTTTTTTTTTAATGTGCAACTAAAGTTTCATTTAAAAAATGAGTTAAAGTTCACCCAAAAGTGAAAATTCTGCCATTAATTACCCTCGTATGGTTTCAAACCCGTAAGACTTTCGTTCATCTTCAGAACACAAATTAAGATATTTTTGGTGAAATCTGAGACATTCTGTCCCTCCATTGACAGCTACACAAATACCACTTTAATGCTTCAAAAAGAGATTGTAAAACTTATCCATATGAATTGAGCAGTTTAGTCCAAATTTTCTAAAGAGACTCGATCTCTTGATATGATGAACAGATTCAATTTAGGCTTTTATTCACATTCAAACAAGCTCAACTAAACCTGCTTGATGGGCAAGAACAAACCTCACTTCCATTTACCACAAATGATGTGTGAGTTTATGAATGTTTATATGTGAATAAAATCCAAAATTCAATCTGTTCATGATATAAAGTGATTGTGTCTCTTCAGAAAATTTGGAATAAACCGCTCAATTCATATGAATTTGTTTTATTATCTCTTTATGAACATTTTGAAGCATCAATGGAGGCACAGAAAGCTCTTTTTGGGTGAACACTCTTTAAAACATTTTTGTTATTACATTAAACTATCTTTTAAAACAAATTAAATAAACACTGTCAAATATACAGATTTATTTGACAATTTTAAAGCAATATATTAGTGTGACACTCCTGATTCACCATATTTTTGTCATACCATATTATCAGAATGATAGAACTTATGTGAAGATGATCTAAATCTAACCTTTCTCCAGGCCTGTTATCTCGACGGAGAGGCGAGAGGGAGGGATATTGTTTACAGCCACCTCCCACTCTCCACTGCCTTTCTTCAATTTCTTGTACTCCACACGGAATGACTGGATGGGGAATCCACGGTTCCCACGAGGGATCCACGTCACATAGGCTGAGGTCTCGGTGGCCATGGAAACAGTGGGTCTGTCTGGAGCTTCTGGAGCTGAAAAGACAAAAAAAAAATGTTATGTCAGCATAAAAATCATAATATTATTAATCAGAACATTTAATGGCACACATTTTAGCTATATTTAATGTTACAGTTCCTCAGTACTTTACTGCAGCCTTAAAGAACTACAGCAAACTAATTATAGGGGAAAACGTATACTCACGTGTGAGACGAGGTGGCTCATCTGGTGTTTTTGGAGGCCCTGCGGCTCCTCCTCTACGCCCTGCAGACCAAAATTAAAGAGAAAATTAAATTCACTATTTCACTGTTTTTTCATACTACAACTCGTATATTTAAAAAAAAAAGTGTAATTTGTTACACAACTCTCTGAATAATTGATTCTGATTGTTCAATCATTCTGAGGCTAAATATTTTTGTATAATGACCACTAAATTACCTTTTTATAATAAATTAAATAAACAGTTTTTATATATACATATTTATTTGTCAATTTTAAGTGATTTATTAATTTAGTTACATTTGCTCTTTTACATATCTCTTAATTATCAATCCTGAATGGACAATCATGGCATTCTCCAGTGAAATATGATTGCTAATGCTACTAAAGCACTACTTGGAAAAAAGTTTTGAATATTCATATTTATTTGTCAATTTTAATAGTGATTATTTTACTGTAACATTTAACAGCAGTTTTAAGCAATAAACAGTTGAAATATGTCTCTTTTTTCAATCTGATTAATTTATTTACAATTTATATATATTTCTTATAAATAAATTGATAATTGCTCTTTTTCATACTAATATCTCTGAAATACTTAATTCTGATTGGTCAATCATGACATTATTAGTTGGTCAAATTAATCGCAAACCCATATTTCTTGCAAAATAAAGTTGTTATAACTTAAGTAGAAAAGTATTATGTGGGATAAAATGGGTTATTATAGAAAAAAAAAATAGCCCTCCTCTAAACATTTGGGTTGTGAGCTTGAGTTTATTTAACATTAGAAACACAAATTTTCAAATGTTGATGCAGAAAGGTAATCTTAAAGTAGCAGTATGGCTTTACATTTGCCTGTTCTAAAAGTCATCATCGCGGGCTGCCCAAGTCCAGCGCAGTTCTTAGCGGCCATCTCCACTTCATAGAGGCTGGCAGGCAGCAGTTTAGTAAGAGTCAGTTTGTGCTGGAAGCCTGAAATAGTGTTAGTGGTCCACTCTCCAGGAGATTCTCCAGCCTGCCAGACAGAAATATACACACAATGAATCAGAGGAGTAGAATCACATGACAAACATACTGTAGAGTGAAACGAGGCAGATCACACTGTACACGTGAACTGGGCAGTGTTGTACCTTTCTGTACTTGACAACATACTCCAGCACAGGCGCTCCTCCATCATGACGGGGTTTCCAGGTAAGTTCATAGTAGTCGGCCTTTCCTGTGCGTGGCTGACTCAGGATGACTGGAGCTTCGGCGGGAGAGACTCTGACCTCAGAGCAGTCGAAAGGCAGCACTGCACTGGTGGCCACAGGCTTCAAAGGTGGCTGTTCCCGCAGCACTTTATCTGGGCTCATCGGTCGAATCATGGGCAGCTTACCTGACCGTGAGGGCACTGAAATAAAGAAAAATTAATGAATTCATTAAAACAAAAACATTTATATTATATATAAATGGGTTATAAATTCATTATAATAAAATTGAATAACAATTATTATTATTATAATTATTGTTATTCCCTTTTATTAACTACAACTATTGTTATTAATAATAATAAAAAGACAGTGATATTGACATTTACATTAAGCATTCAGAAGTTGCTTTCCCTGAGAATCAAATATTATGATAAGCATTTTCATTTTTAACATTTTTAATGAAGTGTTTTATACCTGTTGGGACAGTGAGAAGTCTTGTGGCTGCCTGTGAGCTGCCCACACCATTCTCCGCCATGCACTGGTACATGCCATCGTCCTGCGGCCCGACGTGGAGCACGCGCAGCATCTGGGAGGACAGCCGATGGCGTGGTGAATGGCTTAGGGGCTGAGCATTGTGGAGCCACACCACAGTGGGAGTGGGCTTTCCACTCACTTGACAGCTGAAACGCACCGTGTCGCCCCAAGCAATGTCTTGCTGCTGCAGCTCGACACGCACCTGTGGAGGTTCTGAAAGACCAATTGTGTAAAACATCAAAAAATGTTGAAAAGCATAAACCAACAAGCATTTGGATGGTTTAACAGCACAAAACATGAGTGTTGTTTGTGATGGCATGCTGCTGCAAAGGAGTCTGGGATAGGTGTTGTCTCACCCTCTCCAAAAACTTGATGGTTGGATGCTAGTGAATCAACTCGAGCTCATTAGAGCAACAGCCAGAGCGGCTTAATTAATCACAGCTGCCGTGAGACGAGCCCACAAAAACAACCTCATCAAGGTCTCAGAAACTCAATCCTACACACACACTCTCTTTCTGTTCAGTAAATATACTGTGGGTTCTTTTAGATGCTTATTATCACATTTATTCACTAAAGCCCTCTGGTTCTGATGCATTGAGTTACGATTCTTACATTGAAGCAGGATTAAATGACTGGAAATTGAAATTTCCACACACGTAAAATGTTCCATCACTGCCCTGGTTCCTGCTTTTCAAACCCCACTTCACTTGAACAAATAATCAAATAAATAACCTAAGGGCCACTAACCAGATGGGTGTTCTGCCAGTTTAACATTTACAACAAATAAAAATGTTTTTTAAGAACCATGAATTTGAACAATATACAGTTATTAGAGCAATTATACAATATTTTAAATGGATAGAAAAAACTAAAAAATCCTACTTACCAAACACCTGCACGTCATACAGCACCCTAGCAGAACTCGCAGAGTCAAAGCCGTTATCAGCGTTACACACGTAAGTGCCCGAGTCGCTCTCGCTTGCTGCATCAATCAACAAGTTGCTCAGTAAGAAGCGGGTGTTGTTGAGATTTCGCAAGTCCAGACCGTCCTTAGCCCATGTGACCTGTGGAGTAGGAATACCGCTGGCCACACACTCAAGGACAAGTCGCTGGCCTTTGTTCACCATAATGGACCGAGATGCAGGTGGATAGATGATACGTGCGGCCTCAGATGTTGAACCTAGACAAGATAATACGTGTCAATTTTATGTCAGCAAAATGGACAGAATGTGTTCATTTTACGCTTTCTGTTCACTTACGTCGTATTCGGAGACGATCGGTAGAGGTGGAGGTTTTAACTTCCTGGGTGACAGGGTTGTAAGCAGCACATATATAGGGACCCTCATCGTCCTGTGTAGCATTAGCTATTTGAAGGTTTCCTGATGGCATGATCAGGTAATTCCCTAGGAAAAAAAAAATCAAAGAACAAATGATTAGCATCTTTAGACCAGGCTAGTACTTTTCAACAGAATCTAATTTAGGAATCTAGAACATTCCTTAAGGTAATTTCCTAAAATCTAAGCTGTGATCTTCACCATCATTAAACTGAATATCTGAACAGGTAATTGCAAGAAAGACAATCATGCTAACAGGCAGCGCTTTGTGGAGTGGACAAGACCAGACAACACGCAAAGACTTGATGTCTCTCAACAAGACAAGAGCTACCAAACACTTAAATACCAGAATCGGCTTGTGTGCATTTAAAAAATGTGAATAAATTGAAAGAAATCATATTTGAATTAAAATGATGTGGCTCGTAATGATTAATGATGAATACAGTGTGCTTAAATTTTAGCCATAAATCAGGAGAGACAGAAGCATACTTTCTACATAGTATACTGCAGAGTTATAATGTCTACGCCAAGGCACTAGCAACCAGAGTACTACATAGCTCAGTAGTACCTTGGTAGTGAGTTAGAAACATGCACAATTTTATTTTATTATTTAACTTATTTGCTCAGCAAGATCAGTAGTCAAAATGAAGGAGAAAACTGACAGCACAAAGACATTAATGGCCATTACATAAAATATCAATCCATCTTGTACCCTCCTTAGAAGTGGGCTAAAGTGGCCCCACTAGTGGGTCACAGGACCCTTGGTTGAGAACCAATGGCATAGAGTAATGAGTATGCTTGTAAAACCGCACCTTTAGATGTCTCCAGCCACTCCTGTTTGACGCTGTAGCGGACCTGAGCTTTAGGTTGACTCTCAGGCAGATGACACTCAATCACAGCTGTGTTCCCTTCATCCACCTCAATTTCCTGCTGGTCATCTGGCTCAAAATCTCGCAGTTCTGCACAGAAACAAACAAGAGTTACCATACAAAGTTTCTCAAACATATAATAGGAAAAGCGATGGAAATCTCAAACGTCCAAATGCTGGTCGTGAGCGTTTCAAAGCTGAAAGCCTCTTTGTATTCCATTCAGGAAACTGAGAAGCTTCAGAGTGCATATGCTTAGGACTTTTACTGGGATATCGAATGGGCAGACACCCAATAGCTCTGAAAAACAGAGACAGAAAGTCTAGCTTCCTTAAGCTCAAGTCAGCCCAGGCTAAAATGAGGTCAAAGGCTAAAGGTCACCCATCTCTTGAGTTTCAAGAGAGGAAAGGCAGTCTGGATTGCAATAAAACAGAGTAACTCTGCCTGAGCGTGTCATTCTGTGAAGGGAATATTTTCCAAAGGAAGACAGGGAAAATTTCTCAGCGCTGTCCTGAAAAACCCTGAACTTAATCAAATATCTCCCCAACTGTTCATTACTCCTCACACAAATCATATTGTTTCACTGTTCTCCAGAGTTTAGTTATATTCCTTGGCGTCTGAAATGTCTCAAAGTTATTTACAACAGAGCCAAAAGATCCGTGAGGTAAAGATTAAAAAGGCTCTTTGTGGAGTATTCCTGGAAGCAAAGACATCCAATGATGGATGAGAAGAGCACTTTAATAATCAACATCTGATAAACTCTCCAACTCCAGCTGCATCTGTAATCTCAAAGTCACAATCGTCTGGTTTTTTGAAGTGAAATGGTTTTTGAAATTATTTTTTTGGGAGATGAGAATTCCAGGATCCATTTGCTAAATCTATCAGGGTCTTTTTACAGCCCACCCCAAAACCTAAACCTCCTAAATTCCTCAGTGCACAGCTTTAACCCCTCCTCTGACTGCCTCCCCCATTCACCTTCTCCTCAAAACATTCCTACTCCCTTCAGGTGTGAAAGAGGAGAGGAAAAAATATAGAATTAACATCTTATTAAGTTTAATGTAATAAAAACTAAATAAGCCATTTACACTTTGGGGTCAGAACGTTTTAAAAAAAAAAAAAACTTTTATTCAGCAAGGATGCATTAAAATGATCAAAAGTGAACATTTACAGTGTTACAAGAAAAATTATGTATGGTAACAATAGAAAATCACAAGATTTGGAATATAGCACATGAGTCAAATGGACTACTTTTATGCAGAATTTTTAAATCTGTGAAACACGTTTATGTTTCTTAACTGTTTGTATTTTTATGTGAGGAGGTAAAGGGTGAATATGTGATTTTTGCAGATATGTGAGGTACATTATACGTCTCCTGGAGGCATGGACAACAAGGAATGCTGGGAGCTGTGCAGAATTAATAGTATTTATAAAATGATCTGACAAGTTTCCAACTCCAATGCTTTCATACATGCTGCACGGTTACTTAGCATTCATCATTTTTATGTCTGGGGCCGCAGAGCCTGTGCGCATGAACGCTCATGTTTATATGACATTTAAAACTCATACTGCGATGATACAGTCACTATTGTGTGGAATATCACTGGCCAGACTACTAGCCCTTAAAAAAAAAAAAAAAAACAGGTTAGGCCAAGAGTTTATTGGGAATTTGTTACCCCATGTATTGAAAACACATGTTAAGAGGTGTGCTTTTTGTGTGAGCGAGAGAAAGAGAGAAAAAAAAGGGAGAGAAAGAGTGCCGAAGGAATGTTTCTTGGCTCGAAGGACACGGGAGGCTCGCTTGTCTTTGGAGGAATTCAAGTGGAGAGTTTGAAATAATGCTCAGGCAGGCAACGGCCTCCCCGGTGGGAGACGTTTCAGACAGGGTTCCTACAGAGACAGATACCAGGGAGAGCCAAGCTCTTTCACAGAGCAAAAACAAATGGGTAGGTCTTTGAAATATGGAGACATGAGACAACTTCAGGCTCGTGATCACACGCAGCGCCCTCCCAGAAGAACTGTCCAACCCCTGGCAGGCTATGGGAGGAGGTCTTTATTAAATTAGAGTGAGGGGCCAACGTGGGATCATAAGAGACGAGGGGCCCCAGCTAAGAGCTTGCATCTGCAAGCCCCTAGCTCTCGACTCCCAATTCATAGACCTTATCAATTACATCTCACACATGTACGAGTCAAAGTAAAACAAGGCTGAAAGTTAGAGAAAACAAATGAGCAGTGAGAGGACTGAAATCCAATGCACCATTAAATGCCATGAGTAGAAATGCAGATAGTTTGAGAGAGCAAAGTCAGGGGGGTGAATGATGTAAAGCATGCCGGCTTTGTGAGGTGAAAATGGTGTCAAGAATCTCATGTCTCGTCTCATCTTGACAGAATATCCTGCCTCGACTAGTCTGCCAAACCTGCCCTCCTCATATTATCACACAAACAAGCATGCATCCGCACACAGTTCTTCAGAATCTCATGTGTGGCACGTTCGCTAACTGAAAATAATTTAGTTTCTTTGTACAGGCAATAAGATGTTTTCACTTCCATTTAGGTTCAAGATGTTCTCGGGGTCGTTCAGTCATTCAATTTACTGCATCCTTGCTGAAAAGTATTTTGAATGGTAGTATATGCATGCACAAACTCACATTCACCTCATTATGAGAACAAAAATTTTTTCAATGTTTTTTTTTCTTTCTTTTTCCATTCTGTCTCTGTGTAAGAAGACATAAGCAGTGGAGAACAGGGAGGAGGCCCTTCACTAATGGGGCCCGTGATTTCACCCCTACACACACACTCACAGACATTATGGTGGGTCACATTACACACCCCTTCCTGTGCTCCAACACTGACTTAGGACAAACACACACACACACACACACCAGCAGTCGAACTTGGCCTGGAACACAACCGCACACTGTAAATCCCTTTAAATTCAGCACAGAAAATGTTCAATTTTCAAAAGTGTGTGTACTCACTAGCTGCAGTAACGTTGGCTGGCACACTAGCGCAGGACCCGACGCTGGTGGTGGCCACACACTGGTATCTGCCTATGGTGAGGTTTGTAAGGGAGGGGATGTAGAGAGAACCGGGCCACACCAGCACTCCCAGCTCCTCGTTGCCCCCAGCTGGCAGCTCTCGACCGTTTAGACGCCAGCTGATGTTGGCATGGTTAGGCAGGGCGGTGCACCGCAGGGTCACGCTGCCCCCCAGTTTCTGTACCACAGAAAAAGGCTCTTCTGTGAAGACTGGGACATCATCTAGAAGAGAAAGTGGAACACGAGTATGGTGAATAAATATTTATATTTTATCCAAAGCAACTTATAAAAGAGGAGAAAAATACAAACAATCAAAAGAACAGTGGGGCAACAATAAAAGTATAACCACAAGGTTCCTGAGTTCACTTAAGTCTGAAGAAGTGAGTTTGTGCAGAGCTAGTGGTTGTTCTGTAGGCAAACATCAGTGCCTACAGAACATATATATACTGTATGTTTTAATAGGTGTCAAGAACTATAATAGGTGCTGGATCTGAGTCCAGCTTGTTCCGGCTCAAATGAAGCTTTATGAAGTTGAAGGTGTCCGAAACCCACCTCTAACAGCAGCACTATCCTGCAGGCAGCACAGCAGAGCACCCAAGGCACACAGCGCTCGAAACTTCCGCTTTCTTTCCCATGGTATCCAGTCCAATATCCCAGACATCTTCCATGCACTACCCCTGTGAGAGAGAACAAGAAAGAGGTTATCAGCTGAAAATGTCATTGGTGATACATTATATTGCGCTATAAGGAGAAGCCAACAACACATTCATATAAGTCAAGAATGCTATGGATTACTTACTCCAAAGGCAATTAAAGTGAGCACTTTTAAGAGGAGCTCATTTGGAGCGCTCTACATGAAGACACACACCAACTCAAATGTTGGGGTGAGCAAGTTTTTCAAGGAAATTTGTATTTTATTCAGCAAGGACACATTAAAATGTTTAAATTGACAGTAAACATTTAAAATGTTTGGTATCCACAAAAATATTAAGTAGCACAACTGTTTTCAACATTGATTATAAAAATAAATGTTTTTTGAGCAGCAAATCATCATATTTCTGAAGGATCGTGTGACATTGAAGACTGGATTAATGATGCTAAAAATTCAGCTTTGCCATCACAGGAATAAATGGCATTAAATATATCATAGTTGAAATATTTATTTCAAATTGTAACAATATTTTGCAATGTTACTGTTTTCACTGTATTTTTGATAAAAGTAAATGAAAAAAAAAAATAAAAAATTACCAACCCGAAACTATTGAATGGTAGTGAACATGACTGATCACTTTTGAATGAAATGCAATAACTCTGAATAGCAAAGTTTACCTTTCTACATCATCCAAAATTAAGTTTACAGCTGTTAAAATTGTTCTGAAAAATATTGGTAAATATAATTCACTCTAGGTACTCTTTGAGATGTCAAATTATGCACCGTCTCAACAAAAATAAGAATATGTAAAAAAAGGAATCTCTTCCGGTGTGTTTTAAGACTCTTTGTCAGGTCTTAAGGTTTAAATGAATGTCACTCACGATCATATACCGCAAGATTACTTTCTCAGTGATGGTGGTCTGTGCTCTTAAGCGAGCACTTCGCGAAGGGATTCTCTGCTCACTTTCATTTGGAATGACCCTATGAATAGCTTTCCCATTCTGCCTTCCCGGGCGCAAAAATGGCGTTCTGCTACTCCTGAATCAATCTTTCCTTACAAGCTCACAGAACTCATGCTGAAACACACATCCGCTTGAACCCACATACAGCAAGTCATACTGTTGAGACGGGTGCCCGGATAAGAAGAGGGGGAAATCTGAGCCCCCTCACTCAGGTGTAACCGATACAGGCGGGTTCAAAAGAAAAAGACCTGCACACAAAGAACAATGGGGTGGGGGGGTATCATATGTATTTTCTGGAAATATTGAGTAGTGAGATGTGTTCTCTACAAAGACGCAAACCGAGAAAGAAAGAGAGCGAGCGGAGAGGGAGAAAAAGAGTAATGGTTAGTGTATTAACAGTTAATGCAGGAAAGGGAGCATTTCTCTCCCTCGGCTCTCATTGCCAAGTTTCTCGAATTCTTTCCTGTCAGGTTAAACTAACAACTTCCCGTCAGGAGGAGGAGGGTGGTCCATTGGTCCCAGACTGCAAATCTCTCCCTCTCCCTCTCTCTCTCTCTCTCTCTCTTTCACATACACAAACACGCACACAACTCTACTCCCATCAATTGTAAGTAATGATTAATGAAAGCTCACAGAAAGATTGAGAGCTCAAACATGGGAGGGAACCACACAACGCAACTCTAGAAAAAAAAAAAAAAAACTCTACAAAAATAAATGAAGTCTACGTCTTGGGAATCGGAGTTGTTTTCCTGAAGCTGGTAGGTACATAGCCGTTAGCTATTAGCCAAACTCTGCTGACGGAATAGAATGTGTGCCATTTACAGAGTTTGGGGTTTGCCCTAAATAAATGTTTTTACGTTTCCAACACCAGAAATAAACAAGTCTTGCTGTCTGAATAACGCTGCAGAGAGATGTTATTTAGTCTGACTGATCTGGAAATGTTGAACTAATCATTTTAATTACTGTATGTGTTAAAACACTGATGGATTTTGCTGTCCGATACAAGATTAGCCTGTTTGTTTTTCCATCTCTGAAGTGGAAAGGGCATGACGCTGATTGCATGCACACCGGGGAACCTCACTGCCGTAGCTAAGATCATCCTGACCTAATCAAACACTCAACTTGACAAGCAGGCCAACAACAACTAGTTTCTACAACATTAAGTGACCACTTCTCAAGTTCTCTATGTTAAGTTTAAGCTCTGTCACGATTTGTCAGCTTTAATCAGGTCAGTGATTGGCTCATCACTGCTGTTTTTAATATTACAGCAGCTAAAATGAATGATTTACTACCATGTATGATAGATAATATCAAACTTATTAAGATTAGTAATACTACAACTCATGGCATTCCTATTAATACTACAACTACATCTATTAATACTTCTGTAGGGGCAGATTATTGTTTCAGTTGGGTTTTGACCACAGATAGAGACTGTGAGGGATGGAAGTAGTCAGTTGCTAAACATCCAGCCAATGAAACATTAAAAATGTATCTTTCTACAAACTTCCAATGGACAAACACCCAGAGAAAACATCACTGAATTATTGTTTTCTGATGGGCTGCTCAAGAACAAAGTTCAGAATCAGATTTGTAATTGCTCTGCCAGTTATTTCACTAGGACAAAATAAACGTATAAACAAATAATAAATGAATACATTTTAGCACAAATTTTTCAGAGAAACTAATATTTAATGAAAATATTTTTTATTTTGCAAGTAACTTACTCAAAGTGATGACCTGACATGAACATTATTCTCACAATAATAATTAAAAAAAACAAATTTAAGTAAGCCAGATATAGCATTGCCTTGGCCACATACTTAAATCCAGTTCTGTTCTGTTGTGATCTTTCAAAACTTCCAGTGAAACAAAAAAACTTAAAGAAACTAGTTCAGATTTATAATTTCCCTATATATATATATATATATATATATATATATATATATATATGAAGAGTTCAGATGCAAAAGCCTCTAAATGCCATTTGAAATTTTCTTCTTTAATGATGATTTTTATCAAACTTGTATATTTAAGTTCAGTAATTTCACTTAAATGGCAATGATAATTACCTATTAATTGTTATTTAAGTGAAATTACTGAACTTAAATATACAAGTTTGATAAAAATCATCATTAAAGAAGAAAATTTCAAATGGCATTTAGAGGCTTTTGCATCTGAACTCTTCATATATATATATATATATATATATATATATATATATATATATATATGCAACATCTAGTCTTATTTCCACAATTCAGTAAATTTTGTTTAAACAAAATTTATATATATAAATAAATGTAAATTTTGTATAAACAAAATGTATATAAATTGACACACACACCCCAGAACTGACTGGATTAGGCAAGACATTGCTGTTATCCAACTTGAAACTCTTGGCCATCTTTCTTTATTGATGAACTTTACTGAATAGTAGAAATTAGATTAGATGTTTGCATAAAAAAAAAAACACTAGAACTCGTCGGACTATCCGGCTCTTTGCAGCCAACAAAGCTGTGCTGTCATCAACAGGAACAGGACAGCTGCCCTATAGGTTAGTAATAGTCTCTCCTTAGCCGTCAAGCCACCTGTCTCAGGCGTCAGAAGTTATCCCCTTGAACACACTTGCTTTATTCAGACACACATGCGCAATCCATCGTCTTTAAAACAAACACTTCACATTCATATCAAGTCGCAACTGTAAAGGAAAAAAAAATTATAGCACTGCTATTTTTTTTTCCATTTTTCACCAAAGGGCATAGGGGCAGGGGGAGTCAAATGATACTGTAAGTTAAAAATGTGATGCGATGTAAGTACGTGACCCCTAGAGAACCAAGATCGTATTGATCTAAGTATCTGGATAAGGGCTGTACAAAGGCATGTGCATTTAGACCGTGTATAGGAGAATGAAAGAGAGACAAAAAGCATAATACTGAAGTGACTTCATAATGCCTCTTTGTCACTAAATGGAGTCCTTTCTTCTAGGGCCACTCTGGTCACTATTGTCCTCCAGCCTGTGTGAAATTCATTTTGACAACCCTACTAATTGGATAAAACTGCTCTCTGCCGGCTGTGGGCCTCCCTCATACCGTTCACATTCCATCTGCTTCCACACAGAGGGAGGAGAAGAGTAACGAGGAGGAGGAGGTGGGGTCTAGCTCCTTCTGAATATTTATCACCCCGCTCCCTTCACTCTATTTATGCCCCCCCGACCCATCCTCGATTCTCCAAACATCACAATACCCCCCCTTTAGATAAACACATGCGGTGTCAAGTGTGAGGAGTGCTGGGTTCAACTGCCCGCGCGGGCCCATGGCCCACAATGCCACAGCACATATCTACCATGCGGGAGGCCCGTTGCTCTGGGCGATGGTAACAGGCAGAACGCACCTTAATAGAGTGGAGAGTCATTGTAAAGCAGTGAGCCGGCGCACGGACAATAACCCCACGGCCCCCTGTGAAAGGAGAGACGTTTCTCAGAAGGGCCAAAGGAAGAGCTGATGGGGGCAGCTCAATGGACAAGTAAGGGCTGCAGTTTTGGGCTGGAGGGGGGGGGGGGCAACAGTGGTTTGTGGATATGGGGGGATCTAAGCTTTAGGGATCCAAATTAGAGAGTGGATGTCAACTGGTGATTGACCGAAGAGGGGGGAAATCGAGATGGTGGATAGTTGAAGTTTGCTGGCCATTTGGTTGAAGTAGCCAAAATGGAGAAAGTGCAATACAGAAGGAGACTACACTGAAATTATGGCTTCCAACAGATTAACAACACACAAAATGAATCTTTCAATATATTACACCCTTTCATATTCTATACAGAACATCTCAAGAAAGATTTATGCTCTACATTGGCAGAGAATAGATATTTTTCCAATCAGAGGAACCACCATTTTGACCAAACTTTCACTGATGTACAAGAGTTCAAATGTTTGGGGTCGGTACGATTTTTTTTTTTTTTTTTTTTTAATGTTTTGAACGTTTTTTTTTTCTGCTCATCAAAAAATACAATAAAACAGTATTTTGTGAAATATTATTGGATTTTAAAATAACTGATAAAT